ATTATTATCATCATTATTATTATAAGCTATACAAAGAGCCACACTGAAAAAATCAAGATTTATACCACCGAAGCTGTCAGCGCAGGTCAAGATACAGCCAAGAAAGAATGAAAGAATAGAAAGTCAACTATTTACGTAAGAAAAAACATGTCAACTGATCTTTTAAACTTATCAAGAGTCGGAGAAGTTACAATCTCTGAAGGCAATCTATTCCAAAGCCTACAAATAACAGTAAAAAAAGAAAAAAAAAAAAAAAGCATCAAGAAAATTGACGTAGCCTTGTATTGTTATTATCACTATTACTGTCACCACCCTCGCTTTCGCTATCATTTTTTTACCATTATCACTACGAACAACAACAGTAGATATTCTCCCTTTTTGCCTCGTCATCGTCACCGTTGCCTCAATTACGTGCTCATCTTCAACAGGATCAGTAAGATAACGGCAAGAGGCAGTCGGACTATATGCTGGAAGATCACACTGTTGTCTTTAAGCATTGCTGTGGTGCTGTTACTTGTCCATGACAACCTTCTCTCCCCGCCCAGCATTCCCAGGCAAGCTTATAATGGTAGGTTGTGTAGAGCAGTGGTTCCTATCCTTTTTTTTTCTTTTTCTTTTTCTTTTTTTTTTCATTCTGTGGCCCCCGACCAATATATGATAATATCCATCGCCCCGCTCAGTGACTGTCACCTCTTCAGATTCAGCTATTACTAGGTAGGAATAGTGCAATGGCGTTAGCAGCTATTGGGCATGGGTTAAAATCCACTTTAATATGCGAAAGATTATTGTATGCAGGTACTGTAGGTGAGATAAAATTTAGTTTGATTCGACGACATAAATTTCATATAGCTCTGTAGCCCCCGAGAAAAGTAGTTCGTGGCCTCCAGGTTGGGAACCCTGTGCTAGAGGATGTACGTATGTGTGTGTGTGTGTGTGTGTGTGTGTGTGTGTGTGTGTGTGTGTGTGTGTGTGTGTGTGTGTGTGTGTGTGTGTGTGCATGCGTGTGTGTGTGTGTGCGTGTGCGTGTAAGTATAAGTACAAGTGTATAGATGTATGTATATGCATGCATGTGCATGTGTATGCGCACGCGCGTGAGTGAAAGGGAAGAAGAGGCGAAAGGAGGAAAAAAAAAAAAGATAAAGGTAGGGTAGGGAATACACACACACACACACACACACAACACAGAGAGAGAGAGAGAGAGAGAGAGAGAGAGGAGAGAGAGAGGAGAAGAAGAAGAAGAAGAAAGAGAGAGGAGAAAGATGGAGAAAGAAGAGAAAGAGAGAGAGAGAGAGAGAGAAGCAAAGGAACGCAACGTTATTCGCCGTAATTGTCAGCGGTGCACGAGACCACAAAACAATGCTTTCAACAGAGTAACGTTTCTTTCAGACAAACAGACTCTGCAGACAATTAAAAGCACAGAGAAAACGGAACCTATCATTTACGTCATCACACCCACCTACAAACGCCCAGAGCAGGTGAGCACCGTGATCCAGGTATGATATGAATCTGTAATTAATAATTGTAATTAATAATAATGTAATAAATAATAATGTAATTAATAATAAAAATTATTAGAGAGAGAGAGAGAGAGAGATAAGGAGAGAGTGAGAGTGAGTGTGTGTGTGAGAGAGGTTGTTTCAGGAATTAAGCTTCGTTAATATCATTATCAATATTCATAATTAAATGACATTCTTTAATTTCTTTGGAGATCGCCCCCCCCGATATCAAACTAATATTATCAAAATTTACGTATATAATTGATTTCATATCAATAATGAGATAATAACATTGAATCGCATCACTGATTTGTAATTGCGAAAGTAAAAATGAACAGAGAACGCAAATATGATATTGATGATGCCGATAATGATGTGATATTAGAATACAAGGTCACATTATATGTCAAAAATGGCCCATGCAAGACACAGCATCAGTTCGTTCGCATCGCTTTTCTCATGACGAGGCAGGTCAACGCAGGTCAACGCGACCAACCTGGCTCACGAACACAAAAAAGAAGAACAATACACAGGACAGAGAGAGAGAGAGAGAGAGAGAGAGAGAGAGAGAGAGAGAAAGAGAAAGAGAAAGAGAAAGAGAAAGAGAAGAGACAGAGACAGAGACAGAGACAGAGACAGAGACAGAGACAGACAGACAGACAAGACAGAAAGAAAGAAAGAAAGACACACCCTACCAGTCACACCTTACAAGCATTAAAAGCAGCAGAAATGACCCTAACATTTCCTACCCTCGTCAGATCGCTGAGCTCACACGCCTCGGCCAGACTCTACTTAGCGTCTCCGGAATCCACTGGATCATAGGAGACGACAGCTCGAAGGTGAACAAGCGGGTCTTAGAACTCCTTGAATTCCTCGGCATCCCTCACACTTACCTCTTGAGTGAGTCCTGTCTGAATGAAGTTGTCTGTTACTTAGGTCTTGTCTTAAGGAAGCTGTGTGTTACTTAGGTCCTGCTTTAAGTAAGTTGTCTGTTACTTAGGTCCTGTCTTAAGGAAGCTGTGTGTTACTTAGGTCGTGCGTTAAGTAAGTTGTCTGTTACTTTAGTCTTAAGTGAGTTGTCTGTTGCTTAGGTCTTGTCTTAAGTAAGTTGTCTGTTACTTAAGTCTTGTCTGAAGTAAGTTATCTGTTACTTAGGTCCTGTCTTAAGGAAGCTGTGTCTGTTAGTCCTGTCTGTTACTTAGGTCTTGTCTGAAGTAAGTTGTCTGTTACTTAGGTCTTGTCTTAAGTAAGTTGTCTGTTACTTAGGTCTTGTCTGAAGTAAGTTGTCTGTTACTTAGGTCTTGCCTTAAGTAAGTTGTCTGTTGCTTAGGTCTTGTCTTAAGTAAGCTGTCTGTTACTGAAGTCTTGTCTGAAGTAAGTTAGCTGTTACTTAGGTCCTGTCTTAAGGAAGCTGTATGTTACTTAGGTCCTGTGTTAAGTAAGTTATTTGTTACTTAGGTCCTGCCTTAAGGAAGCTCTCTTTTATTCAGGTCCTGTCTTAAGTAAGCTCTCCGTTACTTTTTCTCGTCAATAAGCTTTCTGTTACTCAAGTCCTGTCTTAAGTTAGTTTTCTGTTACTTAATGCCTTTCTTGTGAACTCCCAATTACTTGAGTCCTCTCTTAAGTAATATCTCTGTACTTAAGTCCTCTCTTCAGTATTACTTAAGTCCTCTCTCTCCAGAAATCTTCTCTCAGTGAGTACTAAGTCTCTTTCCAGTGTCTTCTCTTCAAACTCTTAAAAGCATATACTTCTCTTCAGCAAATCCTCTCTTCGGTAAATGCTCTCGTAGTAAATACCTCTTTTGTGTTGCGTCTTGCTTTAAGAGGAAGGACCTCTGCGATCGCGCATTTGTGAAACTAACCTTCGCCTTTTTTTAAAACAGTCATCAAATCCTACAATCTTTAAATATTCTCATTATCATAACGTTTGTATACATAATCCAGCCACTCACGACGATTCCCTCAGCGCCGATGCCGGAAGTATACAGGAATGCAGTGGTCAAAGTGGGTCGTAAAGCGTGGCGTAGGAGCAAACGGGCGTTTGTGCAGTTACCGAGGGGCGTGGCCAACAGGATGGGAGGACTTGACTGGGTTAAGAAACATGCATCGTCAGGAGTCGTTTACTTCGCTGACGACGACAACACCTACGACATCAGGCTCTTCGAAGAGGTAAAGAGAGCTTCGTTTGCGCGTATGGGATGGTTATTTTTTTTAGCCGTTTACCTGTATTAATGTACCTTCAGTCTCATTTACCTGAGAAAATGGGAAGACCGGCGATTAGTGTGAATAGTAGGGGTGACTTTGATATTTTTTTTCTTAGAAATAGTTGTAGTATCTCCGCATTGCATAAGTAACAGCTAATGGGTTGCTTTTCAATAACTATGCAGATATAATTGCGTGCAAATGAACTTCATTCCGACCTATTACACTGACCTCATTTCGAATCGGTAAATTTGCTGCACATGTGAGCTGGCTGATGTAAATAATAACGACCAACTCTCCAAAGTACGCTGTCTCTGTGGCTTCATCCAACAGCAGGCGAGCAAGAAGAAGAGCGCAGACAATGTAAACCGATATGCCCGCTTAACACTCGATGATTATGAGACACACTTACCATGTTAACCTCTTGGCGACTTGGGAAGGTCAAGGACAAGATGGTTTTCACGGGGTTTCACCGCCTCGAACGCAGCGGGAGGAAGTTACCTCGGACTTAGACGTACACTTTCTCCTTCAGATGCGATATACCAAGCGGGTGTCCATGTGGCCAGTGGGGCTCATGTCGTCCTCGGGAGTATCGACGCCCGTCCTCCAGAAAGGGGAGTTTATTGGCTGGTACGACGGCTTCATTTCCAACCGAGTGTTCCCCGTAGATATGGCTGGATTTGCCGTGTCCGTTGAGCTCCTTCACCAGGTAGACTGTAGTGGCTGTGTCTGCCATCTTTTGCCAGACTCCTGAATGCGAATGCGCTTTATTTTTTGTTTTATATAATGGTTATTGTCCTTTAGGTCATGGTTATTCCCTCGAACAGGCCCCGAATGCCAGCATGCCATTCAAAGCGGGGCATGAAGAGACTGGGTTCCTCGAGAGTCTGGGGATCAGCGTGGCGGACATCGAATTCAGAGCCGACAATTGTTCCAAGGTGAGGAAGCTGCCGAAATACGCACACTGGAGCTTTCTAAATATGCTGTACACAGTGATATCCGAATTTTCCATTCCTTCTTGCCTTGATTTCTTCTCGGTGTTGAAGAGTGGTGAACGAACTTGTAATTAAAATAACAACCGTAATATTAATTATAATGGGATCCATAAAAAAACTTGGTTCATTTCACTAGTATACACACCATGCTAATAAGCAAGTACTACCCATTATCAGCATATCCAATATAGTGATCAAATCTTAACTATTTTGCAGATCTACGTATGGCATACTCAGACAGTGAGGATATATGTTTCTCGGAGACTCGAGTTCATGCGAAAACAGTACAGAGACTCGAATGTGGGAA